CAATTTTGCTAGGCCCGTTCTTCCGTCTCTCAAGGACCCGGAAGGCATACCGAGTGCTAAGTAGAGGCAGCTGAAAAGTGAAAACCGAACGCACAACCTTCATAACCTAGCTGATGCAGTCTGTGACGAGTTCCTTACCATTTGAGGTTCGCCTGACTACCCACATCGGAAGAATTTCAAGGTGTGACAGTCTATATGTCAGGTCACAGTACTCAATACATTGTTAACGCGCGTGTCAATAATGCATGGACGCGGCTACGAGGGATTGTGCGATGGCGCGTTCAAGGTTGTTACCCGCTTGTAAGTAGGCGCTCTCCATCTTTTCTTTTTCTAAACGCTTGCATGGTGGTGTAAGGTCCATACCTAGATAGCACTTACGCAGCTATCTGAGGCTACCTACTTAGGTACCTTACCGAGGTAGGGACCGGTATTGTGAAATACCTAGATACTGGTATTTCCGTCCATTGAAATGCCTAGTCGATTACATACTGCTAGAGGGTACCTCAGCCTTATCACAGTATATTCATGAAGAGGACCGCCTAGGTCTGATTGGCTTATGTCTTCAACGCACAAATCGTTCCATCTTGGAAATCAACAATCTGACATTGAGGCACTCTCAGAATCCCCACACGGGAGAGGGAAATCCGTGGAGCTCAGCCTGAAGTTGAGTTGAGGCTCCAACCACGGCGTTGCAGCCACTCGATATAGCTCCCGGAATAACCTTGTACGGGGTCATACAATCCCCTGCAGCAAAGACACCGCGAACACTCGTTTGGTGGTACGGTGTTTCAGCCTGGATATCCCCCATAGGTGTTGTGGCAAGTCCAAGCTGTTGAACAAATTGCCCACTAGGCACGGTCAGTGGCTGGCTGACCAAGAACTTCTCTTCACTCTTTGTCCCATCCTCAAACACAACTATAACCGCCTGCGACTTTTCGTCGGACTTAACGAGACGCTTGATAAGCCTTGAATCGACCATCCACTTGTCTTGACTGTTTGTGCTAGCTTTGAGCGCTGCCGCCAGGGCTTCGTCTCCGTGGGTGTAGAGGATAACACTCTCACAGAGTTGTGATGCATCTATGTGGCATTAGCATTTTTCAGGATGCGCCCCTGAAGTCAGAAAACACTCCATGGAGCATTGTGGGAGACCTACTCGTAGCTCCGTGAATCACCAACCCCACCAACATGTCCACGGGCAGCCCAGGGACCGGAGGCACGGCTAAACAGGCATCGGAAGATGCGATCTCCCCAAAGGGAGCCATAGCCTTCGATGCCTGGGAATATTTTGATGATCCGATTGCAAGTATGATCTTCCGAAAGTGCCACTCCTGGCCGTAGGGATCGGTAATGGTGAAGTGAGTGTCACTTTTCTTCTCAATCTTCTGGACCGGGACGTCTCGGAAACTAATGGTAGAGTAATGGGAAAGGATGGCCTCCCTGGACTCGCTACGAAACTGGGACAGGTCTTTTCCCTCGTGCCCTGGAACCATGTGCATACCGGCTGCCTTGTCATTGCGATATTTGTTGGAGTCAAACACAATGACAGTATGCGGTTGACGTGCCAGCGTTGCAACAGCAGTCAGATCCGCGGGCCCTCCACCAATGATGGCAATATCATGAGTATCCATGGCTGTAAATGTCAGTCCACAAAGCAGCCAACACAATGCTGCAATAGGAAACCCAACCTCAGAGTAAAGTGACCGTCAGGAAGAGTCTCTAGAAACTGCAATGTCGCCCGGGTTTGTTGAGAGAGTGTTGCGAGAGCACGAACTGGGATACGCAGGAAGTTAGGGACTTTTTTGTATGTCCTTTCACGTGAAAAACACTTCAGCACATATTTAGGTACCCACGTATTCTGAGCCAGCCTGATCACTAAGCGAAAATTGGGATGTTCAGTTCTGCCCATCCAGTACGAGGGGCGGGAATAGCAGAGGAAATCTCCTACTGTGCAAATGAACCCCTTGCTCGTCCTACACAGTATTTCTGCTTGTAAATGCAGAGCCCGGGTTTAGGCGGATACTGTGGTAAAGTAGCAGAACATTGGACAGCCTACAGGTCGTATCCTATGACCCCATAGACGCGCAGGACACCTTGCTGCACCCCCGGTACCAACCAACATCCGTTGGTCAGGCATAAAGCCTCTGTTGGGCTGTTAGGGAGTCGCGAGCCGCGTTCAACTTGCAATCCGTCAGCCGGAGGCTTGCAATGAAGTTTTCCATTCGGTCGTTGTCGAGACTGTTCACGACTTCACTCAGCCACTAACAGTGGAATCCATACTGGGCTTACACCCTTTCGTACAAATTGGTTCAGCCTTTTCATTCCTTTCTTTAGTCTCTACTTGGCGTACTGGTTTTACCAGGTGCGATTACTGCAGAATCTGCTCAAACAATAACTACTCTCACAATGGTTGCAAAGGAGCAACAGATCGACGCAAGAGAGGGAGATGCGATGGCGGATGGAAGCCTCAATGATAGCCCGCCACCTCCAGGTGGCTCTGAAGTGACAGCCGAGACAGGTGGTCTGCGCCTGATATTCATCATGCTCGGACTGTGCTTGGCTGTTTTTCTGACTGGCATGGCAAGTGTCCCGTCTCCTTGCAACCCACACCTCAGAGGCTTTGACCAGATCGCTAATGAATTACTGATGCAGGATCAAACAATTCTGGCCACAGCGGCCCCGGTAATCAGCGACGACTTTCATACGATTGCGGATCTGGGATGGTGGTCCAATGCCTACCTCCTCACCCTGAGCAGCTTCCAATTGTTTTATGGCAAATTGTACAGCTTGTTCTCCATCAAAATCATCTATTTAGTGGCTATTGCCCTCTTCGAAATTGGCTCCCTAATCTGCACCACCGCCCCAACATCGACTGCATTAGTAATTGGCAGGGCCGTAGCAGGACTGGGAGCTGCCGGCATTTTCGTGAGTCAATGTTTTTGTGTACATAACTCCGAGCTTTTCACGCCAAGGTTGATTCAGGGTGCTGAGATGTCTATTGGGCCTTATTGCGTTCTAGACCTAGGCCCGAAGGAGCTATTCTCACCGCAGTATTGAGTGTCCACCTGGGCAGCTAATGATGCTCTTCTAGTCTGGCGGCATTTTGATTACTACCAAGGTCATCTCCCTCGCACGTCGTGCTGCCTACCTGGGAATCATGTCCGGAGTGTTTGGTATTGCTGCTATCATCGGCCCTTTCATCGGAGGCGCGATTATCGGTAGCACGACCTGGAGATGGTGTTTTGGTATCAACCTCCCACTGGGAGTCTTGACTGTCGTGATATGTGGTTTTCTTGTTCAGACGCCTACAGAGCCCGAGATGATGTCCACTCCAATGTCTCAAAAGCTTCGAAAGCTCGACGTTCCCGGCACTGTACTTCTGGTCGCCGGACTCATCTGCTTCTTGATGGCACTCCAATGGGGAGGTTCGACCTATCCCTGGAATAACGCTCGTATCATAGCTCTATTTGTCGTGGCAGGTGTCCTCGGTATTTTCTTTACCATTTTCCAGCTCCGCAGCGAATATGCGACAACTATCCCACGAAGTTTGGCCCGCAACCGTGATGTATGGTTCGCGGCCAGCTACGCTATGTGCATCACAGGAGGAGTTTACACTGCTATTCTATACATGCCTGTCTGGTTTCAGGGTGTGCGCGACTATTCGGCACTCTCATCTGGGACGATGCTGACGCCGCTGATCGGGGGCTACGTCCTTTGCTCGGTCCTAGCCGGAGGCATCACCATGGCTATCGGATATTACAATCCCGCAATGATCGTGGGTACCATATTATCTATGTGAGTCTACGATGAAGCATTCTTGGGTGACTGACGGTCTACTGCCAGCTCACAAGTGGCTACTAATTTCGGATCCACAAACTTGCAGTGCCGGATCCGCCCTCCTGACCACCATCGACACAAGCTCTTCTACTGCACGGGTTGTCGGCTACCAACTTCTATGTACGTCCCTTCCCACCGCTGCATCACCATCCTCAAATATTCTTGGGCCATTGCTTGACACTAACCAGCATCTTCCACATGTCAGATGGGTTTGGAGTTGGCTTTGCCTTCGGTCAACCCAGCTATGTAGTGCAGACAGTCCTGTCGCCGTCTGACGTCCCTATCGGCGTGACACTCATCACCCTAATGCAAAATTTAAGTGCGTCGGTGTTTGTCGCAGTAGCTCAAAGCATATTCCAAAGCCAGCTTTTATCGGACCTGCAGGCAATGAATTTGCCAGTGGCGGTTGATGTGTCTACAACAGGGGCAGCCCAAATAGTTGATGCAGTGCCGATTGAATTTCAAGAGGAGGTAAGAAGAGCTTTGAGTCGCTCACTGGTCAATACATTCTACATTTCCTTGGCACTTAGCTGTGCATCCGTTATTGGAGCCCTTAGTATTAGATGGGGATCTATGAAAGGGAGTAATGCCGGCAAAGGAGAAATATCATTGTCGAATATAGAGGGTGCTGAGGTTGAGACGCGGCATGACTAGGTAGCTGACTTAGAAATGCACAAGTTGGGACTGAAAGATTCGAGTAGATGTAGTAAGTTGTTGAAGCAAGCATCACCAGCATGGATAGGATGGCTTTTGCTGGGTATTCACAGTATATAAATGTGACTTGTGTAGGATCAAAGCACGGTGTCGACTATCACGCCCCTAGATCATACTTCATCAAAGTCAATCAGCCTGATTTTCCACATGCCATTGCATACCATAACATATGGATGGACTCCCTTTGTCGTCATAATGAACGAGCTGCAAACAAAGGACCTGGATGGCCAACTATGATACTTTGCGTGGGATCATAGATATGTCTAAGAAGAGAATTTCTTGCAGGTAGAACTCACTTGTAAGACTTTTTGGCGGTATTGGAACACGTCAGGTTCTTTTCAGTATCATTTACATCCAGCTGTATGGCTCGCGGAAGATTGCGACACAGGATGGTTTCACTATGATAAGTTCTTAGGGCAATCAAAGGCACGTGGCAACACAAAGCAAAAAGATGACAACCGTGTGATTCGAACACACGCCCCTTTCGAGACTACGAGAAGATATATCTGCAGAGAGAACACCTGAACGTAGCGCCTTAACCGCTCGGCCAGGTTGCCTATAACTGTGTTGATGAAAATTTGTTCACCAAGTTTGCATGATGACTCAAAGAGTTGTGGGAGTGGGTCCGCTATTTGTCAGGGCTTCTGGGTGGAGTGGACTGGAGCGCTGAGGTATACCCAGCACCCGACCAAAGGGACGCGACAGGAATGTACCCATATAACGGAGCAACTGCAATGAACCAGAAGCACACACTGAATATCTACATCAATTGTGCTGCGTAGGTTCGTGGTTGTGCGTCTGTATTATGATAGCTTGTTGTACATCGTGAAAACGACAAAAGCCGGGATGTGCCTGGCAAGTAGCCCTCTTCTCCAGGTTTGGAAGTCCATGGGCCACTCATCACCTAGCAGACGCTCCGAGATCTAAATCAAGATTTGCGCAACTGGCAGCGTGGGTTACTTTGCGGTTGCGGTGAACAGACTCCGAGAATGATTTGTGATCAAATGGTTGAAGAGTTCACGTGTTGCCGTACTCGATCTTGTCGCCTTCGTTCCCGTTTTATAGACCGCCCCCCCCCCAAGCTACAACGCGGGGAAGACCTCGTCCTCCCTCACATCCAACACAATCATATGACCCGGACTGTGCGCCATGACCGTCCCTTCCAAACCAGCCGTCATCGCAGCATTCTGCGGCGTGACACCGCAGCCCCAGAATACAGGCACATAGCCACTCTCTGACGCATCGAACGGCCTCCCGCTACCATCCAGCATGAGGCTCTGCTCGCCCCACTGCACATCCGTGATGTCGGTGATACCCAGCTGTCTCATTCCATCCCAACCCCATGCTATCGGCTCTCCATGGGTGGCCACGTACGGCCGCGTGATGTCGCGGACTCTCTCGATGTCTTCCAATTTGTAGGGACGCATAGAGACAACGTAGGTTGCGCCTTTGAAAACGCCAGCAGGACATAGTGGAACTGTGGTGCGATACATGGGTACGTTTCGGTTGTGTAATTGGTGTCGTGGTGTGAAGCCGGCAGCGTTGAGAGCGGACTCGAAGCTGTAGGAGCAGCCGATCAGGAATCCCACGTGGTCGTTCGTCCATTGGAGTGAAATGTCCAGTACATCCTCGCCGTCAGGTAGTCCATCTGTATAAAGGCGGTACTTTGGAAAATCGTGTCGCAGGTCAATGTCCTGCGCCACTTCTATTATCCCGTTTTCAAGGTGCTTGTTTCCATTAGCCCGTCCTCCATTGGGGACTGATGTGCGAGCTGGAGCTTGCAGGTAAGACTTCAGCTGTGTGGCCTGCCCTGGTGTAGCCGATTCCGCAAGAAGAGGACATGGGACTGGATTGCGAGCGCATAAAAGGCGGAAGTCATTCGCATATCGGGAGGGGACGACAATCAGATTGGCCTGCAGATAGGAGGGTGCAATTCCAGCGGTTTGTTCGGTCAGCAACTTCGTGCGGGCGGCCAAGCGAGCAGATATACCAGTGGGATATTTCTGGGCAGGGGACTTGTTGGTTGCCATGGCGGCGCAGAGGTTATTCGGATGAAGGCCGTCGAGCTTGTCACGGAATTCAGGAGCGAAGTCAAGATATTTTCCCGGGGTTGTTCGATGTTCTACAGAGGTAATTATCATTACAGCAGATCGTCGACCTCCGTCGCTGAGGTTGAGACCATCTTATGGTAGTCCTATAGGCCCGGCGAGGTGGAAGGCCCAATCCACCCGAGCGGAGGAGGAGGGCGATGGCAAGGGTCGTCGCATGGGGGCCTCGGGGGTATGGATGCCGGTGGCGCGTTATCGGCTCGTGGTGTGTTAGTCGCGGGGCATGCTTATCGTCTATACAGACCAGGGGCCGGTGACGAAGTACGTACTCGTGAATCGTGATAGAAACTTTTCGTACAAAGGCGCAGTCATTCGTTCAAGAGTGAATAGAGCATGTTCCAGGGAGACAACCTCGCATACTAGGCGACAGTCTTCGGCTGTCGATGTCGTGCACCAACTTGTGCCGGGTCATTTGAAGGTGCGGACATGGCGGCCGCGTCCTCCGAGCTCTTGATGTCGCCTTTGAGCTGCTTGCCTAGCCGGTCGATCTCTGCTCGTTGTTCGAAAACAATATCTGCTAACTTCTGCGCATTCTCGTTTCCTTGAAGGCCTGCGCGCAGACTCTCTCGCTCAGCTTTGGTGAATTGCAGGGTGGCTGGTGATTCCCTCTTTTCCCCCGACTTTTGTTGTCTCTTCTTGATCTTGTACTTGACATCTCTTGAACGCCTCTTCCGCGGCTTCCGCTGGTAGGGCCCTTTGCTATCTTTGTTCCGAGTTGCGGTCTCGACGGACTCAATAGCGGTATCAGCATCTGCCTTGGCGGGCTTTGTCGGCGTCGATGTCGGTGTCGGTGTCGGCGTGGCCTTGTGCTTGGAGGAGCGTGTGACTCTGGCCATGATGTCGCCGCCGTAGGTCCGGAGGAATTGGTGGAAGGAGGAGTTTCAATTCTGTTGGTATTCAGGCAATTGCAAGTGGTCCGTTGGTGTAGGACAAATTGTACGATGGTGATCGATCCATCTACAGCTCCGACTAACTTTGTGTTGTTGTGCTGCTCGAGCGACGGTGCTTTGGTGTTCGCTGTTTGGAGCTTGTGTGGAGTCGAAGGTGGCCCAAGCTCCTCGATGTACAATTCCATATCCATGTCCTGACTGCATTATCCCAGTGACAATTGACCTGTTCTATCCACTCCTCATACATTGAAGTCTCAGAACTCAGACAAAGCTCATCTATGACTGAGATAGGTTTCTCCCAGGGGTTCCAGGCGGCCACAGATCCCTCCTCCTGCCTACAGCCGCTGCCGGATCGGCAAAGGAAAATTGCCGGGCCGGCCTGGTATCTTAGCGTCGGGGAGGCCCTCCGATCACTTGTAGCTCGGTCCACCTTCAACCTCTACTCATCGTCGGGAACCCACTCCTGCTCATAGCCCCCCCGTCCTGGGCTTTTGGTGTTGCTGTGCGACTAATGCTAGGGAGGTATGTATGCCTCGATAATTGCATATTCAGCAACACGAACCTTTGTCGGAGCCACATCGGCCAGCAACTGCGCTCCCATTGGCCTGGTTCATGTCGATGGTGACAGCGTCTCTTTGATGGTCCACAGAGATCTGGTGAGTGTGTCGGGCTAGGTCTGCCTCTCATTACTAATTCGACGCTCGCATTTATTCTCTTGTCGCAGATAACCTCGCGGAGAACCTTTGGTCTCTATTCACGCATCTCACCGAGTGGCGAGACTATCTCTTTCATATAGAAGCATCGTCCCTTCTTTTTTATTGCTTTAAACACCTCAGGTATATGCCGTATGTACTTTCTCGAAAAGGCGCCCGTAATTACATCCAGCAAAGCCGCTTGGTCCTCTTTCGTCACCCTTCCCATTAGCATATCACAGCCTTGTGTCATCTAAAACACGCCATGGGCTCTGTCCCCGACACAAAGCCACTCGGCATCCGCATATCCATTGACCGAGGTGGCACCTTCACGGACGTCCATGCCTCCATCCCAGGCAGAGATGACATTATTCTCAAGCTCCTATCTGTCGATCCAGCCAACTACCAAGATGCCCCCACAGAAGGCATCCGCCGGATACTGGAACTGGCCACCGATACGGCACATCCAAGGGGACAGCTGCTAGACCTCCACCACATTGAGTCCATCCGCATGGGCACCACAGTAGCCACAAATGCACTGCTGGAGAGGAAAGGGGCGCGATCCGCACTGCTCATTACCAAGGGATTCAAGGACTTGTTGTTTATTGGGAACCAGTCACGACCAAAGATCTTCGATCTGACAGTGACACGCCCAGAGGTACTCTATGAGCAAGTGGTTGAGGTCGATGAACGTGTGACAATGGAAGATTACACGGAAGACCCCAAGTCTTTCAAGACTGAGGTCACCCCGGGAACCACTGATCTTATCACCGCCGTCACGGGCGAGACCATCCGGGTCATGCAACGACCAGACCTAAATGCTGTGAAGGCGTCACTACAGGCACTATGGGACCAAGGCTTCCGCTCTCTTGCGGTTGTCTTTGTGCATTCGTATGCATACCCCAATCACGAGCTCCAAGTCGGCCAGCTGGCGGCAGAGATGGGTTTCAGCACCACCTTGTCATCCGCCGTCCAGCCCATGATTAACGTCGTGCCACGAGGAATGTCCGCAATGGCAGATGCCTACTTAACCCCTGTCATCAAAGAGTATATCTCGTCTATCGAGTCGAATTTTGATGGCGGATTTAGCGGCGAAACTACTCGCATCGAGTTTATGCAGTCTGATGGTGGTCTCGTCGATTACCGAAAGTTTAGCGGGTTGAAAGCTATTCTTTCTGGACCTGCAGGTGGCGTTGTTGGGTACGCCCAGACTTCATGGGATGCAGAGGAGAGAAAACCTGTCATTGGCTTTGATATGGGAGGTACCTCAACTGATGTATCTCGTTATGCTGGTGTCTATGACCACGTGTTCGAAACGACCACTGCCGGCATCAGTATCCAAAGCCCACAACTTGATATTCATACCGTAGCTGCTGGTGGTGGCTCTATATTGACATGGAAGAATGGCCTGTTCAATGTTGGCCCCGAATCCGCAAGTGCGCACCCGGGCCCTGCTTGCTACAGGAAAGGCGGCCCTCTCACAGTCACGGACGCAAACCTCTTCTTGGGACGCCTGTTACCAGAGTATTTCCCAAAGGTCTTTGGGCCCAAAGAAAACGAACCATTGAACAGGGACATCACTTCCGAGAAGTTTGCTGCTATGACGGACGAGATCAACACCGACCGGAAGACCTCAGGTCTATCACCCTTCTCTGCCGAGGAGGTAGCCATGGGTTTCCTGGAGGTGGCCAATGAAGGCATGGCTCGCCCAATCCGCGCTTTGACGGAGGCGCGTGGCTACGAGACATCAGCACACCACCTCGCTTGTTTTGGTGGTGCTGGTGGCCAACATGCCTGCTCTGTCGCATCCGTCCTGGGCATCTCGCGCATCATCATCCACAAGTACTCATCCATCCTCTCAGCATAT